GCGTTCCCTCCCTATCCCCCCACCCTCTTTTCAGCATTTTTTTTCCACCAATGCCATCTGGCTTGAGTGTGACGGGTGCCTGTAGGGGGCTTGCGCAGGGGCCTCGTGGCTTGTTTGCGGGTTGGGCAGGCCAGTCAGGTGTTCTAGCGCCTTGGGGATGTGACTGCGGTTGCAGCCCCCTGGCTTCGTAGGCACCTTCCCTCCACTAGCGACTTGGGCGTTAATGAAAAGCTAACAGCCAAGCAGGAAAATCTACTTGTCCTGGATGACTGCACTTTTTTCAAGCCCTGTTATTAGCCAACCTTGTTTGATCAAGATGGCTAGATATTGGCCTATTTTTTTGCTTGATCTATAGACCTTGACTGTGTCTTTTAGGCTTCATAAACATCCAAAGAAAGAACTTGACAAAACATCCAGCCATTTTGACCAAGCAAGCATGGTCAATAACCTAACATTTATGTTCCTCAATCTGAGCTAAAAATGGCTTGTCATCATGTCATTGCTGTATTTATTTGTTATGATTTGATAATACCTCTGGTTAACTCCAGTTATGCTGCTTGTCTGCACAACTGAGGTCTCATTACTATCTTCATCCACTCTGATCATCCGAAATTCTTCCGGTACGTTTTCTTCATATTGATTGTCAAACTCACCACTAACACAAAAAAAAACAAACAATTCACATACATTATATCATGAAAAAAAATTTTAATCTTGAGAAAAAATGATTTAGGCTGAACTCCTATAGATAAACAAAATAAATAAATGAATAAATAAATAAATAAAGGAATTTACAGTCTGTGGCACATCACAGAGAGAGGCTTTTTGTCCACTGTTTACAGGTCAATTTGGCATTTAGAAGTGTTAGTTTTTGTTATACATCAGTATCTTAAATGGTAGAATATGTTTTGGTTAACAGCATACAGTCATGTACAAGAGCAAGGCTACTGAGGCTTCATTATGAACAAAAACAAAATTTAAAAGTATGGAGCCTAAAATTAAATTGAAAATTATAGTAGTCTGAAATAGCAAAGTTCCTAACATCATTTTCAAGGTAAAAAACAAGGTGAAGTCTTGAGTTCGTACAAGCCAAATGACCCATTGATAAACCTGGGTGTAGAGAAGTGTCCAAGAAGACAAAACAATGTCCCTGGATAGCAGGCTTTTAGCCAGATGGGCATCCAAGCATCCTATGAACAGCCACTTATTAAAGAAAATCATTTTATTTTTCATATGCTGCCTTACAAATTGTTCATTTGAGCAGGCCCTGTAGCACATTTTGGACACCCACTTTTCAAATCCTGGCTAAAAGCCTGCTGCACAGGGTTCAAACCCAGACCACTTATGATGAGGCCACCATCATTTTCAAGGCAAGAGTGAAAATATCAAGGTGACATAAGAGTCTAAATTATACACCATTGACATTTTTGTGTGTGCTATATGAATACATTCACACTGATGGAGTCTGCTTGCACATTCAAGGTCAAGGGTGGCTGGTATTCTACCACAAGAAAAAGCACACAGCATTTTGTGCATGATTGTAACTGTAATATATCTTACTTCTACTTTGTAGTCAACAGTTAACAACAACTTGCTCTCTAATAATATTGTATGAACAAAAAAAAAAGACAAATCTGCCAGTAAATGGGACCATGGGCACTGAGTGCTCCCTGGGATAGCAACGAGAGTGGGTGGTAGCGACACACCCTGGACAGGTAATTGGGTGGTTAGCG